AACAATTCTATTCATATTATTACTTATATAAATGTATTACATAAAAAAAGAAAAACAATTATGACAATTATATTTTTTGTTCTTAACTTTTGTGTTATTATAATTGCAACTTAAACTTCAAAAATTACAAAATGTGTAAATTCACTAGTTCTTTTAATTTTTATTTTATATATCACGCAAAAAAAATATTTTTGCAAAGTAAATTTATATCAAAATTTTAAGATTAGTTGTATTAATCAATATGGATTAGATATCCGTAAATATTCGCAAATATCCGCAAATATTTACTTATTTTCCGGATATCCGTTTTTTCGGATATCCGTATTTTTCCGAAGCAAAGCAAATACCAAAATTAGATATCTGTAACATTCGAAGCAAATCACAAATACCTTGAAAAATCCGGATATCCGATCCGCGCCCACCCCTACGTATATGTGAGCTCGATCCTTTTTTTTTAATTTTACATGCATGATATATATTATCCACAAGCTATACATATTCGAGAAAGCAAATTTCTTAATAACTCTATTCTGACATGATATACGATAACACCAAATATCATGTCAGAATTGTCAATAGTTTGATAAAATTTTGGATTAATGTAAAAACCTTGAAACATAGTTAACTATAACTATAATAAGGAAAACATAATAACATGTTCTGACTTTAATACAGTTTGAGAGTATATAGAACCCCCACGATCTCACATCCTAGTAGCAAAAAGAAGAAAAACGGAGAACATGGTTATATCGAAGTTAATTAATAAGAATGACAGAGACATATTTACTCAGAAAATGAAGAAGAGTTCGGCTCTCTGAAGTGCCTTACTTTTGTTAAAAGATAAGTTCGTGTTCTTTCCATGACAAAAAGTATAATTGGCCCATTACATAGTTCAATTTTCCTTTTGTCTTTACTTGAAAGAATACGTTGTTTATTGTGTATGTGTTTATATTATGTATACCAAAGGTTTTAACCTCAAAAGCTTTGACTTCAAAAGCTGTTTCTATTGTGAATTTCAAAAATTTCTACCTTCTTTCACTTTAAAGTCTAAAGAACGGTTTTGCTTTTTGTAACTTTTTTTTGTCTAGAACATTTTCTTTGAACTTTAATACAAATGAGAATCAAAATATTATTTTTAACAAGTTATTGACTAGCCTAACAATGTTTTATACCTTTTTCAGCGTTTTTTTAATGTTTTTTCAATTCAATTTAAATTTCTATTCTTGTTCTTATTTTTTTTGGTCAAAATTTATATTCTTGTTCAAACATTTTTGTTTTCACTGCAGCAAACGTATGAACTGAGAAAGCTAAATAGTTCAGTTTAGTGAAGTTGCTCGTAGCTTACTGGTAATGGGTACCTCCCAACTTCTTTTACAAAAAAAATAATAATAATAATTCAGTTATGTTCGTTCCATACTTAACTAGCTAGTTCCATTAGATTCATAGCTGTGCTTGACCACAAGCTAGTCAAGCATGTGAGGTGTCTCAAAAAAAAAGGTCAAGCATGTGCTTGGGGTCAATCTAGTTATATACAGTTTAGGGGTTAAAATGATAAGAAATATTGTTTGTTCAATGGTTTAGATTGAAGATTCTTTGGCCAATGTCATGTTTTTGAACAAGCATAATATCATTTTGGGGCTAAATTTTTTTCATTGCTCTAGTCTTTAGAAAGTCAGGCACGGCCCTGATCAAATTGCCTTTTTGTTTATAATTAAACGCAATTGTCTTGGTTTATATTTGGCTCTACTTAACTCTGAAACTATAAGTGACAAAGTGCAATAAGGATTCTAAGGAAAGCGTTGAGCAATGCCGAGTAAAGTGCGTATAGAAATGCCTACACGTGAATAACTAAATTCACGCAATTGTTATGGAATGTGTGTATGCAACATGCATCATTACATCTATCTTTATTAGGTATTGAATGAATTGGGCTATAAAAAGGTGATAATGAAAATAAATTAACAACATAAAGAAAGTTGAAGATTTAATATAGTATTAGCTTTTTTTTTCTTTTTTTTTTTCAAGTAATATAGTATTAGCTCTAACCTTAAAAAACTACTGTGCTTCGCAAACTTGAAACACAATAATAATGGTTTCCACGGCTAACTATCATTAGGTTGTTTATAATATGTACATAATGAACAATGCGTAGACTTGCATTTATTTACCTATTTTGCTTAGTCAAGTTCCTCATTATCTGTCGCCTACGGGCTACAGCTTCTCTCTTTCATCAATAGGGTTCAACTTTGGCATGCTAGTGATATTCCACTGGATCAATCAACAACAAAGTGTTCAGGAAATTTCTGTTCTAAAGAGTTTTGGAATACAATAAGTATTTTTAAAAACTTATGTTCCTTTGTCCTCCTTCAAATTTGAAATAAAGTAGTTATTTCGAATCACTCGATTTCGGTGTGACGATTTTTACTAAACAGATATCCAATTCTTGAACCTATTTGTCTGTTATATTGCTCCACAAACAATATTCAATTTCGGTGTGACTATTTTGTTGCACCCAAAACTATTGTGAGAGTGCCAATCAAGGATTGGGGTAGTTATTGTTCCCTTTTTCCTGGATCATGTTCTCCTCTAGTTACAAAATGTCGTTCAAGGCATAACTTGGAGCTCAATTTATTGCAAGCAATTGGGTATGCTTTCTTCAGTTAAATTCCAGTTTTAACATTTTGGAGTCCAAAATTATATGCGAGGTAAAGATCCAACATTTTCAGAGTTTATGGCTGGAGGTGCTCCTAAAGCACCAAGCACCAACTACGATGACATAAGTGACTATTATCCTTATTTTTGTGTAAAAGGAATTGTAGATATATTATATTTTGAATTTTAAGTTTTAAGGAATTTAATATTTCATCGAAAATTAGTATCAACTTTTATTAAATTAATTTCTATTATAAAAAAAAACTTAAAAAAAAAACATTTTGGAGTTAGAATTTAATTTTCAGAATATCAATCGAGACTAAGAAGACAATGCAAGTTTGCTACGGACATTAACTACAAGCAAAGACCAAGCAGGCAAATATTTATGTAAATATGTTTACCACATACATAAACTACACTCTCACAATGACATAAATATGAACTTAGAAAGAAAATAAATCACAGTTTTGAGAAAAATTGTAAGAAACCCAAAAGAAGAAAGAGAAGAAGACGGACTTAAATATTTGATATGAAAATGGAATAGCCTAACAAGTAAGACAAGATTTTCTGTTTTGAATATGCCAAAGACCAAACCGATCGGTTTGATACTTGTGCACCAAGAAACATACATTCACAATTTTAGGGGTTTACAGTTTTCAGAGGAAGTAAGTAAGCTGTTCCTTTTTCCTTGAGCCTCCTTCTCCATACAAATCATTCCATTGCTTCAGCTCATTCATTCCAGATCCTTCTGATGCAAAACTTGCCCCTACCTGCAAAACACACAACATATCTTAGTTAGGTTTGTGTTATTGCCTTTTCTTGTCAAAGTGAGATAAGATGTTTGACCTGGTTTTTAGCTTTTCTCATGTCTTCCATGTTCAAAGGTCTCAAAATAATCTCTTTCTCCTCTGTAGCTTCTTCTTCTCCTTCTTTTGTTTCTTCCGTGCCCTTTCCTGCTTCTTCCCTCTTTTTCCTCTCCTAAAACCACCAAGTAAATGTCAAAATCAGTAGAGAATTTGATCAACAAAGAGCACAAAAGAGGGTCTTATCCTCTTTTCTTACCTGATCTTTCAATCTCTCCTTTTGAATTAGCTCTCTAACAGGTCTGTAAGCAGCTGTGATGCATAAGTTCTGTTGCAGAAATGTTTAACAAACAGTCAGTTTCCATATGACACAAGACTTTTGAGTTCTGGTTAGAGATGTAAAAAACCTTGAGATCACTTCCACTGTAACCTTCTGTCATCTGTCCAAGCTCATGAAAATCAAGGTCATCTGTCTTCTCTTTTGCCAACAAAGTTCTCAAGATCTTCTCTCTGCTCTCAACTGAAGGAAGTCCCACCATTATTCTGTTATTCCCAAAACACAAAACACAAAACAAAAGATCAGTCACAATAGTATATTCATCAAGAATAATGATAGAGATTTTTTTTTTCATTTTACTTATAGTACTACCTCCTCTCAAACCTCCTGATGATAGCTTCATCAAGATCAAAGGGTCTGTTTGTAGCTGCAAGAACCAGAATCCTTTCACCAGGTTTGGTCATTAACCCATCCCAATGAGTCATAAACTCATTCTTGATCTTCCTCATAGCTTCATGCTCTCCAACTCTTGTTCTTTGCCCCAGCATACTATCAACTTCATCCACAAATATAATCGTTGGAGATACCTTAGCTGCTAAAGTAAACAAAGCTCTCACATTCTTCTCATCTTCTCCAAACCATTTAGAAGTGATTGTAGACATTGATACATTGATGAAACTAGCTCCAGCTTCATTTGCAATGGCTTTTGCAAGCATTGTTTTCCCAGTACCAGGTGGACCAAACAGAAGGATCCCTCTACATGGCTTGAGAAGACCTCCTTTGAAGAGATCTGGTCTTCTAAGTGGAAGCATTACAAGTTCTTGAAGTGAATCTTTTGTTTCGTCTAAAGAACCAATATCTGCAAATGTCACACCAATCTCATTTGCTGGTATAACCTCTGGTCTTATCCGCTTCTCAAACTCATTGTCAGGAACAACCTCAGGCGCTTTTGGAGGTGATGGATTATCATTCTTGTTTGCAGGAAGTGATTTGTCTAACTCATTCTTGTTTTCAGGAGCAGATGATTCAGGTTTAGACTCACTCTTTGAACTCACTTCTCCTCCTTTACGCTTAGAGTCAGTGTTTGTGTCTAGCTCAAATGATCTGCTTCCACCTTCTTGGAATATACTCAGTCCATGAGACAAGCTGTTAACAAGATCATGTGAATCAGTTTAATAATCTGCTACAAAAATTGTAATAAACCCATTATAGTAACTTACCTTTTGGAAGATATAACAAGCTTTCCGTTTCTGTATTCAGGTTCTTTGGTGTGTATCAAATGATAAGTGATTGCAGAAACCACAACTTCATCAATGTGGCTACTCAAACACATTGTATCAGCATGGCATATGGAAGCTAAGTCATCGCATTCGATGTCATTAGCAGCAAGAACCTCTGCGATGTGGTTCTTATTGTCTTGAAACTGAATCATCTTCATGTCATCTTCTAAACGACTTTTCCAGCTCATGAGCTGAGACTCATCCTCTGGTGGCCTGATCTCAATGTTGTAAGGAAACAGAGCGGAAGTTCTTTCACTTACTTCTTGGCAATCATCTTCTGGTTCTAATACTCTTGAGCCAAGAATCAAGACTGGACCAGAGAGCTTGTTCAAGAGCATTTGGAACAACTTGTAGAATCTTTCTGACTCAAGAAGCTTCTCAATGTCCCTGAGGTATACTATTAGCGGAGTTGTTGCTGACACAGAGACCAAAACCTGCCAGAGAAAGACACCAAATTGTGGAAAAACCGTCGAAAATATTTAGAATACTTAAGACAAAAGTTTGTCTGTTTTACCTTGTAAAGTGACTGCAGAAAAAGTTTCTCGTCAAAACATAAATTTGTGCTCCGTTTGCTACTTCCTAAAAAGCCATAAAAAAGACATATATGAAGCAAAGAGATGTAAGAACTTGAAGATGAGTACAATGTATAAAGAAGATGTAATGATAAACCGTTTCCAAACCTGAAACAGAGGATATGCTAGGAGCAGCAGAAGCATTTCTCTTGTGTTTTGGAGAAAGATTTGAGCTCTCTATGCTCCTGCATTTAAAGGAATTAGTGAGCATTTCACAAACACCAAATAAATGATAGAATAAAGAACCAGAGACAAACCTTGTTTTAAGATCATTTCCACTGGTATGTCGAGGCAATGTCCCTAACATTTTACAAGAATTTTTGTTTGAAGTAAGAAAAACAAAAATTAGAGAGATTATGTTGTGTTTTTTACCTCTTGGATCAACTTCGCGTTGAGAGAATATCGAGTAGGAACCCATCAAACTCGACACTTTGTTTAATGTTAACTCAGAAATAGACCTCTTGTGAAACTATTAACCAAGAAACAGAGAAAAAAAACAGAGTCATTGCTCTGAAACAATCAGCATAACAAAACATAGATAGGACAAGAAGTAACTTACTGGTTCCTTCTTGGTGCATCCATATTTACTTTGTATCTGTTTCCCAAAAATAGAATAGAGAAAGCTTATGAAGTTGGAGCTATTCTGTTTTATTGTGGGAACTAAGAAAACCATATGTGGTTGATTTACCTTAACAGAAAAAGCAGTTATATCTAACAACAATAGCTTTGATTCACAGTAATGAGACAAAGCTTTTGCAAGCATTTGCTGATAGAACTCCGCAGGACCAGAAAGTAAAATTGCTTTACTTGCTGGAGCAAGATTCCGAGTGTGCTTGGAGATATCAAACTCTTTTAGATGAACATAAGCTGAACTTGTCAATAACTCTCTTGTCCTCTCGCTGCTCAAACAATAAACATTTCTTGAATGAGTTATAAATTTGCATTCATCTTATTACCAAGAACATGAAAATAGACATTTCCATGTCTGCCAAATGCATGATTCAGGTTTTTACAGATTAGAATATATCTTCAATCTTATCACAAAAGGGACAACTCAGTAACTTAACTGAATCTTGATAGTCAAGATATTTCATTTCTTGATAGTATACAAGAACTTGCTATATTACATTTTCTCAAAGAATTGTAAAATTGATTCCAGTTAAAAACATTTTTTTATAGAAATGTAATGTTTGTGTTTATATTGATTAAGATGCAACTAGAAAGAGTTTAAAACCATGTCAACAAGAAAGAGCTAAACTACAATTTACAACAGACTATATATTCAATAATATGAAGAAGTGAATCCAAAAACAATGTTAGCAGAAAATATAAAAGCAATAATGAAAGTTGATAAACAAAATTAGTAGAATCACATGTAAGAATCTTTCTATTTCTCTGGCTGTCTCTCTCTGTCTTCCTTTGCCAAATCATCCACATGCTTGTTGTGCAACTAACCTACCCCACTGTACATCATTTTTCATTTTCTAAATATTTTCTTGGAAAAAAAACAGAAAAGCAAACTTTTACTTCAAAGAATTTCCCATCTCTGTCATTCTTTGAACCTGGATATACCCAGAGATTCAAAGATCCATTCACCACCAATAAAAAGATGCTAAATCAAACCAATGATTCTTAGTGAAAAAATGATCATCATTTTTCCAAAGATTCAATCATTATTTTTAATAGCCAATATTAAATCTGTTTTTCAGTAAAAAAAAAATATTGAATATTTTCCAAAGAAGATGTAAATTACAATCAACTTGCCAAGTTGGCATATTTCAAGCACACTCTTTATCTCAACTCCTTAGATCTGAAAGTCCCTAGAAAAGCATTGAATCTTAGATTGAACTCAAGATTTTTTTTTATCATCATGAAATATGAAACACACAAAGAACAAACAAAAGAGAGCTTTGTTTGAAGATACCTTAAGAAATAGGGAAACTCATCGAAGGTAACAGTACTCTCTCTTCCATCAATAATTTGTCTCACCAACTCTTGCTCAATATGTTCTCCTGTGAGATCATCTTCTACAGAACCCGACCCGTTTGCCCATCTACCCAAACTCTGACCCGATGCCAACCCAATCCCTAAACCAACACCAACACCTAAAGCTGACAGCAACACGCTCTTCTGCTCCATTTTTTTCTTACCGATCAGAACAAAACCCTCGAAGCTAAATCACAAGATATAGGAGGGATTCAACGTGCATTCCAAGGTAAGACAATAGAGAGTTTAGCTTTTTCGGTTTTTGTCTGAAAATGGAAGAGTTTATTTTTTGGGTTTGGGGTAAAAAAAGATTTTTGGTGGTTGGACGACGGAGAAGAAGATGAAGATGGGTCTCTATTTATAGCGACGTTTGGGTTAGTCTTATAGACGTTAACCCTTTCCCGGGAAAAAGCAAACTCAGATGGAAACTTTTTGATAAACAAATTATATTATATCAAAAATAAACCAGATAATTTACCTTTAATTAGTTTTTTTGTCCAAATATATTAGTTAAGTTTTCTATCAGTGGAAATAAAATACAATAAAATAAAGTAAGAAAAAAAAATTTTGACCGGTAACCGGGTTTTCTTGTTTTTTATGTCATTTTTCTTGAACTCTATTTTTGAATTTTTCTTAGTTTATATTGTAACTGAAACTACTCAGTAATGGACCAATTGGACATATGTATTAATGTGGACGTTTCTGTGGTGAAAGTCACGCATGTGAGGAGTTACTACTACAAAATTAGTTCTTGTAAATAAATTTCTTTCTCCTTCGACAAAATTTAATTTATAGTTGGGGCGGTTGGTTCATATACGTAAATCTTTATACATATAACTGGAATTTATTTACGAGAACTCCCTTCGTTAATTGTTATAGTAAATATATGAGAAGGCTGTGAATCCTTATTAACTCGGAAGTAGCATGAGTGAGTGAGCTAAAATTTACCCTCCAACGATCCTTCTTTAAACAGACGTGCATCATCAAGGAGAGTTCTATCTATAATATCCAAAATAAACTTAAACTAGAATGGAATTATGCCGAGATCAATGGGCTATAAACCTTAATTTTTAAAGGGTGTGAATATAAACTCTTACGTGGGACTTTTAATCGTACATAAGTATTATATAAGGTCAGTTCAAAAAAAAAATATTATATAAGGGATTTTGACCATTACACTTAATTACCGTCAATCTCTCTTATTAAAACAAAATACTTCTCATAGACCTAATATTTCTTTTGTAAGTTTTTAAATTAAATGTATATTTTACATAGTTAAACCATTCAAATTAACTAATGATCTCTTCTTTATACTATACTACTATATGTGTTTCCAAATAGCACAATAATAAACTTGCATCTAAACAATAAAAATGATTAGGTCATACTCTTTTAATAATTTTTGTATTCATCTCCTTTTCAATGATCTACCTAAAACACTCAATTCAATTATGAAATAAATTCAAAAATAAGTATAAACAATTTTCATGGGTTTAGATACTGAAAAATAATTCCATTTAATGTAAATTAATTATATTAATGAATTATTATTTTTTATCTTTTCATATAAAATTATATTTATTTAAACTTTTAGATTTTTTTTCTTATATTTTTTTTATTCTTACCAGCATATAATTATTAAAGCGAGATAATGTTTGGTTTAAGTTGACATCGAATCAATTTTATTCAAATAAAAAGTTAAAAGGGAGATCGATATGAGTCAGTTTATCTAGTATTTTAGGAAATGTTCGGGATAGATTCACGTTTTCCCGGTCTTTTTGATAAATCGACATAAAATAAGTTTTCTATTTTAATTTTTTGCAAATTCACACAATTATTATTATTTTTTTCATCATATCACAAAATTAATCAAACCAGTTACAGAAATTTTATTAAATATTTATAACAATTTGTGAAGTAACTTAAAATCAAAATTAAGTAATATAATTTCATATTTAATATAAATACAAATTATATAATCATATAATTTCAATTATATTAAAATTAAAATGTTTAAACTTTACTTATCAAAAAATGTTAAAGTATTTTAATTTGTAAATTATATTTAAAAAAATATTTTTGTGTGTTTTAAACACGGATCAAAATCTAATTAGTTTCAAGTTAGAAACCATGAGACTTAGCATGTTATCAACGCTCATAAACTTAATTACAAAAAAAAATTAGTATCCGTGTTTGGGTTCACGGATCCGATAATAATGGTCTATAAAATTAATGGTTAGAAGAATCATTATAACTTAATTTTTAAAAAGTGTGTAAGTATACTTTTTACATTGGAAATTTGACTAGGACATGAGTAATATATCATTTAGACTATTACACCATAGAGTTTAAGTTGAAAACTCAGTAAGTTAACAAAACTGTTTTATACTTTTATTTTAGTGTTCGTTCTTTTTAAAAACGAATCTTTTGTTTGTAGAATCTATCATCTCATTAGCATGTGATTTCAAAGGTCCCTTTTCATATTAGTAAGATTCCTTAGTCTCTAACGCAAACGATTCGGGCTTTTTCATGCTTATTTTACTTTTTGTTTGTCATCTTGTAGTGATTGAAAGGTAAAAGTTATAACCAAACACTTTAGTTCCCAACAAGACAACCTTCTTACTTAGTTACAATGACAAATGTCTACATAGTGGGGAACTCTTCTATTCCATTTCTTTTTTGTGTTCAGTACTAGGTCTGGGCACTGGGTAGAAACGGTTCGGGTCAGAACTTTGGGTTGGATTTGTTCTAGTTAAAAAAGATTTCAAATAATTTGAATTATAAATTTGGTTTAGTTCAGTTCGGTATATGGAAGCAAAAAAGGTTCAGTTAGGGTGTAAGAAACAATATTGATAAATCCCTATTACTCAGCTCAAACTCGACATAGACTCCACATTTATTCGTTACAATCCTGAGTGCCTAGCCAGGGCCAACCCTTACTTCAACTAGGCACAAACTCGACACAACTCCGTAATCAACCCAGAGACTGGTTCGGATCTTAAACGGATTAACGCAAATCGGAACTCCACACGATTTGACATCGGCTGAAAAGATTAAACCAAAACTGTAATTATAGTCATCTTATCGTGTCTATTAAACATATCTAACTTATAAAATAGAACAATATATTTCTTACACTATTATTATTTATCATTCTTCTAATTATTCTATCTTTTACCCTATCACTTTAACTAAATCATCCACCAATAGTCACACTATAGAACGATGGCGATCTTTTCATTGAAAAATACTTTTATGTACATTTACATGCACAAAATGGCGATCTTTTCGTTTAAAAATACTTTTATGTACATTTACATGCACAAAAAGAGGGATGAATATATATATATATATATATATAATCTCAAGTGTTTAGAAAAAAAACAGAAAAGACTTTTTCTCTCCCAGACACAGCTATCGAGATAGTTTTTTAACCGAAAGGCTAAAGACTTCCCTCCCCTAGCTCTAGCCTTTTACCCGCTGTACCTTTGTCAGATAATTCGAATTGTTTCCCTTTTTGGGTTTATCTGGTGGTCAGTCCGTCGTCTTGCAGCATTACCCACCGGGTTCTTCCCCCGACTATGGTCGGAGGGACCGCCGCTCCTCCCCGGCGTTGAAGACTGAAGAAGATGGAAGCCTCTACTGCTTCACGAGTAAACTAAGTTCACAGACGATACTCAGATACGAACAACTTTACTCACACGAGCTCCGACACAATTTTCACATTCTATACTGGGGATTCCTGGTTCTGTGTTTTTGCAGCTATTTGACTTAGGGGGATTCCTTTAAGCGATATTGTGCTTACCAATCTAGCTACCTGACCCCTAAGCCATCTCGAGCAGAACCCTTCCTTAGAAGAAGCTACCTCTGCACCCTGAGCGGTGTAAACTATGGCACACCGACGACTCTCCTCTGCAGAAAAAGGAAAGGGCCTGGACCTAGGGTCTCCACAACCACTCCGCTCCGCCCGAGTCAGAGTTCCCTTACCTGATAACTCAGCCCTTCTCCGCAAACACTCGTTGACCCTTATTGGCAGAGTCACAAACAAAACGGTACAAAAAGTCTGGTCTTTAATCCCTTTCTTCACCGACCACTGAAAAACAGAGATCAAACCGATAGGGTCGGACCTAGGAAACGGATTATTCCAGTTCCAGTTTGAGCTTGAATCCGACCTCTTAGCTGTCTTGGAGAAGCGGCCATACCACTACGCTAGGTGGTTAATCATTCTACAGCGATGGGAACCAACAATCTCCCCTAACTTCCCTTCTTTGATTCCTTTTTGGATTAAAGTTCAGGGACTCCCTGTTCATCTCTGGACAGAGACTACAATACAGTGTATTGGAGAAGACATTGGACACTTTGAAAAAGCGGAGATAACAGCTCTTTCGGTGAGGATGCGTGTCCATGTCAATGGCCTCCTCCCTCTAATCACTAGTTCAGTGGTAGAATTCCCAAATGGTGATGAAATTCCCACCACCCTGGTGTATGAGCGTCTTGATAAACATTGCACTAAGTGTCTAAGGCTTGATCATGACATAAAAGAATGTCTGGTGGCCAGAGCAGAGGCACGAGAGTTAAAAGCATCCCAAGGAGACGCTGATACTAAATCAAATGCAAACCCAAAGCATGATACTGGTTCCAGGAAAGATATCTCATGGTCCTCAGCTAATGATGACCAAAACCGTGGAGAATACAAACATCAACAACAACCAGCTTTCCACTTTTCTGCCTCTAACAACGGAAAAACAAATGCACGAAGACCTGCCAGAGAAACTAGGGACACTGAGTATCGAAGACCCTACAAATCTCAACCAACAATCTGGCAAGAAAGAACCTCCCAACGTCGATCCTACAATCCTAGAGAACAATCACGCAGAGAGTTTGAGGGAGCAACTAGGAAGCACCGAGATTACTCTAATCAAAGATACCTTCCTGCCCCCCATAGTGGTAGCTACTACCGGGAAGTTTCTAGGAAAACTCCGGAGGTTAAAGACTCTGACTCTAGTGCCCCTAAAAGTCACCGCGAAACTGCAATAAGGGGGACTCCCCAGGAAAATAGAGTGAATACTTTACCTCAAGAAGCGGTTGAAAAAGCGATGGGAGAAGTACGCGATGCTATGCTGATATATACCAAAAGTTCTGATCCAACGGAAAGTGCAGCACGAAGGGAAAGAATGAGACAAGCAGAAGAACAAGGGGAAATGGAACAAGCTGCTATTGCGATGGTCAAAGCAAACCAAGTGGTAGAAACTGAACTTGTGAGACCAGACCAAGGCGCTATCACCCCGGAGAGAATCCCAGCGATACTGAGACTGGGACCTGTGGAAGCATCGAAAAACTCCTCCATGGAACGTATCCCTGCAACCTTACGCTTGGGGTCTGGGGGATCAGCGGAACAACATATACATCAAGAACGAGAAAGAGAAGAAGCACAAGACTTACCTGTGCGAATTCCAGCAACCCTGCGTTTAGGAACAGCAACTGGTGATACAGCTCCACCAGAATCGAACGAACCTCTGCTGGTTCAGAAGAGGAAGCCTGGACGTCCCCCAGGACGAAGAACAACGCAAGGAAGCCCAAAACTGTTAAAAGGCTCTGGATCAAAAAAAAGAAAAGTCGCTCAACAAAAACCTCCTACGGTAAGGAGAAAGCTTGTCACAGACTCCAGAACAGAAGCAAGAACAAAAACTACAACGGGAACGCAGAGAGGAAAGAAACAAGCAACATCGTCAGCTACAAGCTCGGAGAACAGACCAATCTGTAATATGATACCAGCAACCACCAGGAAGAAGATGGATTTTCGAACTCCATCTATTCCCGGTCCTTAAAAGTAGCGAGCTGGAACTGTCAGGGGTTAGGGAATCCCCGGACAGTTCGACGTCTAAAGGAGATCAACAGGTCGATATCTCCTGACATCATTTTCCTAACGGAAACAAAAAATCCCAACCTCTTCGTGCAAAGCAAAATCGATCAGCTGGACTTCGAACACCATCACCTTATCCCACCTACAGGGCATGGAGCTGGTGGACTGGCAATCATGTGGAAACAAGAAGTGAAACTCCATATTCTATCATCTAATGCAAACTTCATTGATACTTGTATTGAATATGAAGGAAAAACTTTTTTCCTGCATTTATCTATGGTGATACTGACTATGGAAAGCGACGTGTTTTCTGGAATCAAATGGTTTCTCTCATGAATAACAGAGATGCTCCCTGGTTCATAACTGGCGATTTCAATGATATTTTAAATAATGACGAGAAGGAGGGTGGACCTGAGAGAGCAGAAGGCTCCTTTAATGACCTGAGATCGTTTTATTCCGAGGGAGACCTTTATGATCTACCACATTCAGGCGATATACTCTCTTGGAGAGGAACGAGAGGAGACCACTTGGTTAAATATCGGCTTGATCGAGCTGCAGCTAACAGCACGTGGGCGGAACTCTTTCCAACAGCCAGAAGTCACTATTTGCCCTTTGAAGGATCGGATCATAGGCCCTTGATTTCTGTCTTTGAACCAGAGAACAAAAAGAGAAAGGGTATGTTCCGTTATGATCGCAGATTAAAAGATAATGCAGAGGTCAAAGAGCTTGTAAAGAAAGTATGGAATGAAGCAGGGCACTCCCCCATCAGAACAAAAATATCTCTCACGCGCACAGCAATTGTGGAATGGAGTAAGACTCAGTACCGCAACAGTAGACTCATCATTGAGGAGAAAAAACAGGAACTGGAGGCGGCGCTGATTGACCCCAAAAATGATGGAGAGCTGATCCAAAAGATTACAACAGACCTGGAAGCAGCCTATAGTGCAGAAGAAGAGTACTGGCGCCAACGTAGCCGGTTGCTCTGGTTAAGATTGGGAGACCGAAATACAGGGTACTTTCACGCTGTAACAAAGAAACGCAGAAGAGTAAATTCGTTTTCAGTGTTAGAAGACAGCAATGGCAATATGGTCTACCGCGAGGAAGAGATTACAAAGGTCATCGTGCAATATTATGAAGATCTATTCACGACAATGGAGGGAGAAAGAGCTCAAACCGTCACTCATGCACTCCAGAGAAGAGTTTCCGACGAAGATAATGAGAAACTGATTTGTCGACCATCAGCTACGGAAATTAGAGATGCTATTTTCTCTATACATGCAGACAAGGCACCGGGGCCTGATGGTTTTTCAGCGAGCTTCTATCACTCAAATTGGGATACCATCGGACCAGACATAATTAGAGAAGTCCAGGGTTTCTTTGATTCCGGATCCCTGCCGCCTAGGATTAATGAAACAAACATCAGGCTTATCCCGAAGATAAAAAACCCACAGACCGTTGCTGATTATCGACCCATTGCACTTTGCAATGTGTACTATAAGATCATATCCAAGATTCTCACAAAAAGAATGCAGCCGCTTCTCTCGAATATTATCTCGGAGAATCAGTCCGCCTTTGTACCGGGCCGAGCAATCTCAGATAATGTGCTGATCACACATGAGGTACTTCACTTTCTTAAAACATCTGATGCTGAGAAGAGGTGCTCAATGGCGGTTAAGACGGATATGAGCAAGGCTTATGACCGCCTTGAATGGGAATTTATTGAATTAGTACTGCAGCGATTGGGCTTCCATGCCACTTGGATCAGCTGGATTTTGGAATGTGTTTCCACTGTTACATACTCCTTCCTCATCAACGGCTCGCCTAGAGGAAGGGTACAACCGAGCAGAGGCATCCGTCAAGGAGACCCTCTTTCACCCTACATATTCATCTTATGTAGCGAAGTGCTCTCGGGACTTTGTAACAAAGCAAGCGAAGAGGGTTCCCTAAAAGGAATCAGTGTTGCAAGGGCATGCCCCCGAGTCAATCACTTACTCTTTGCGGATGACACCATGTTCTTTATTCGTGCAAACAAGAAGAGCAGCCAATGTCTAAACAACATCCTGCAACGATACAAAGAAGCCTCAGGCCAGTCAATTAACACTGACAAATCGTCCATCACATTCTCTAGGAGAACACCAGCCGCCTTAAAAGATAGTGTCAAGGCGGAGCTAAACATCCAAAAGGAGGGGGGAGTGGGTAAATACCTTGGGTTACCGGAACACTTTGGAAGAAAGAAAAAAGACCTCTTTACGTCCATTGTTGATCGGATAAAGCAAAAAGGAAGCAGCTGGTCAAACCGGTTCTTATCAAAAGCCGGCAAGATGACAATGATCAAGAGCGTTCTAGCGCCAGTACCCTCGTACGCTATGACGTGTTTTAAACTACCGGTGTCCCTCTGTAAAAGAATCCAGTCTACTGTAACACGCTTCTGGTGGGATGATCGCGATGGGCAGAATAAGATGGCATGGACATCATGGGATAAAATGACAAAACCGAAAGCAATCGGAGGACTGGGTTTCCGGGATTTCCAAGCCTGGAACGACGCTTTTCTCGGGAAACTGGCATGGAGAATTCATAACAACCCAGATCTTCTGCTCTCGAGAATCTTACTCGGGAAGTACTGCAACTCAGAAAGCTTCATGGATGTCACAGAGAAATCTGCAATCTCACATGGCTGGCGGGGAATTCTACTTGGCAGGGACCTGCTAAAAGAAAATTTAGGATGGGTAGTAGGTAACGGCTCCTCTATCCGAATATGGGATGACCCGTGGCTCAGCCTCAAGGCACAACAGAGACCAATTGGACCTGCGACCGAAGCTTCACGACATCTGACTGTGGCTGATCTGTTTCACGAAAACTCCAGGAATTGGAATGGTGAAAAAATACGAAGCTTGCTGCCCCAGTGGGAAAACACAATAAAGACCATCAAACCTAGCATCTCCGGGGCTCCGGATAAGCAAATATGGCTGAGCACACCCTCTGGTGATTATACAACAAAGTCAGGCTATCATACTGCAGTGAAGAGAAGAATGTTGGAGATAGAACCAATTGATGCAGATGAAGCTGGTATAGAATGGTTCAAGGGGGTCTGGAACTTAAATACCTCACCAAAAATCAAAATGTTTCTTTGGAAAATTTTCCAAAAAGCTCTTCCGGTGGGAGAAATCCTTGCAGCGAGGAAAATTACAACGGATAATTTATGCAGGAGATGTGGAACTCCAGAATCTATTGATCATCTTTTCCTACACTGTCCTTTTGCAGAGAAAGTCTGGAAAGCTGCACCTTTTGCAATGACAGTTGAGATAAGTGGATCCATAGATTTAAAGAGTATATGGTTGAATTTGTGTGCAGGAAAATGCTTACCACCAACCGGTATCGTTACTGGACCGCTAGCGCCCTGGATCCTGTGGCAACTTTGGTTTGCGAGAAACCAATTAATCTTTAAAGGAAAGATAATCTTTGAGGAGGATATTCTTACAAAAGCCATAAGCTTGGCAAAAGAATGGATGAACTGCCAACAAAAGGAAATCACTATGCCGCGTAAGAGTGCAATCCAGCCCCCGATGACACCAAAATGCTCAGTGATTAACACTGATGCAGCGTGGAGAGCTACGGACCAACTGGCGGAACTTGGATGGACGGTGAAAATCAGAGGAGCAAACACATTGGCTGAATATAAGCTTGCGGTTCCCTTTGTAGGGTCGGCTCTAGCAGCTGAAGGTCTAGCTATAAGAGAAGCTTTGGTGAAGTGCAGGGAACTAGGGATAAAAAGACTATACTGCGAATCGGACTCTACTCAATTGGTGAAAGCCATCAACTCAAAGGAGCCTCCACCGGAGCTCTATGGAATTCTATCTGATGTGTTTAATCTATCTAGTTTTTTCGAGGAAATTTCTTTCTTTTGGATCCCAAGGGGAAAAAACAATGCAGCGGATGTGCTTGCAAAACAAAGTCTGGTTGAGGGTGATGCCTTTATGGCCAGCACCTAACCTTTATGCATTAATATAAGTTTGTGTTTCAAAAAAAAAATATATATATATATATATATATATATATATTGAATATTCGTTTATAAAAAATATTGAATATTCGTGTGTAGTTGCTTTAGAAGGCAGCACATGGAGATGGAGTTGTATAAAAATTAGTTGCGGGATAATTCCACTTCTCAATATTTTTTGTTTCCATCAAAAACTACTAGCAAGATGTATAGCTTTACACGCCAGTTTCATCTTTTAGAGGCGGCTTTAAATTATAAAAACAAATTAAACAATTAAAGAGTCAAAATAAAAAGTATATGTATAATAATACCATATGCTTTTTGTTTATTCTTGTGGCAAATTACTACACTAATAGAGCATAAAAATGATGCCAAATGATTAAGTGCACCTCTAAGCATATACTTTATATGTTTAGTTTACAAGACATATAGAACCCACAAAACAGATATATATATATATATATATATATGTACATTGAATTTTTGTTTGAAACGGGAGAAAAGTTCATCAAATATATCAGCAGCAAGATGCGTTTATGTATCTTTCTTGTTTATAATGCGATTGAATTGTATGTTGGCAAATGGTAACTGGGTTAAAGAAAAATGGGACTTTAGTTCTAAAGTATCTCATGTGTTAAATTATTTTTTTCATTAAAAGTAAGTTGGTTTACTCCAATCTATATATTTCATTTTGGAAGGAAAAGTAGATTTTAAGAAAATCAACTTCATTTATGGAATAAACTCATCTTCTCTACTAAAAGAGAATTGAAAGAAAAGTATAATTTTTTTTTACCATGAAAAAGTCATAGCAGATCTCTTTAATATAACTTATTTAATTATTTACACCAATCAATTAAATATATAAAATTTCTTGAAAATATTAATAATTCATAAAAAATATTATAATAAGTTATAACAAAATCTGTTGAAAAAAATCTTACAAAATTTTTCTAATAATTTCATTTTTTTCATATAACAATGTGTAAATCAATTTCTTAATTAGGAATATAGCATATGATAATTTAAGGTTAATTAAAACTTACTATAAAATGAAAAATAAAAATTTTCTTACTTTAGAGGAAAAAACTTAGCCCAGTCCTCAGTTTCCACTTACCAATGAAACCGATCATTAATGACTAGTTCAAACACCAGGAGCGGAAAGAGGGACGTGAACCCTCAACCTTAGTCTTGGCAAGACTATCTATTTTATTACTTATAAATTTATAATTATAGTATATATATTTTATTAAAATAGAATTGCTATTTTTATCTACTATTAAAAGTCATAATAAGTTCATATTCAACTAATATAGCTTATTTGATTATTTCATTTATAAATTAAATATATTATATTTTATAAAAAATTAAATAATTCATAATAGTATTAATAATAAATCAATTTATCTATAAATTATTTTTATAATATTAACAAATTAAATTAGTATAAAATAGGTCATTACATATTAATAATATTGAATAAGAAATCTAAGCAATAAGATTATAGAGTGCCTTAATATATAACACTAAAATGAATTATATACTTAAAACATTTACGTTAATATCAAAACTATATTTTTATTAAAAAAGATATCCACATGTGGGTTAGAACATTTCTTATTCTAAATTCTATTTTAACTGGATTTTATGCTAACAGAATAAAAAATAAAGTGGATTAGAACATTTCTTACTCTAAATTTTATTTAGAGTTATTTAGAGTGAAATATAGAGTGAGATTAGAAATGTTCTTACATACGAATGATTCACACGTTAAGTCATAAGTACAAATATGTATACCCCTTTTTTTTTTTACAAATATGTATACCGAGTCCTGTATATCTACATCATCTCACATCATCCGTACAAAAAATTAGGTATATAGGATTATTAATGATTACACTAAATCACTATTAACTTTTGTTAAATTAGGTCAACAACTATAAAAATAACAATCACAGAACCACTAAACTAGATGCTATTTTTCTAAATGCCACACTGTTTTCTTAAAAGAAAAAGTTAAATTATTAAAATGCTCACCATTCGAGATTTTCATTCGAGCTAGTTTGGTGGGATTATTGAGCACCATTGATTTTGTTTGTGCTGTATAATATGCTTTACACATGTATGCTATTATAATGTAATAAAATACTATATGTGTAGCCAAAGAGAAAATTAGCCTTGACATGGATGACAATTGGCATGTTTGTTGGTACTAATTCAAACCACCACTCAATTAAAGCCTACCGAAAACTTTTGAAAACATTATATCTAAGTTTTGTAACTGCAAATTATCAACTTTAACCCCATCAAGTTTACCATTATATGAAAATCTTATATTATAGTTTCCCCTCGCCATTTTTAGTGATTTTTTCATACGAAGTAATTTACACATTTGACGATACCCAGTAAGGATGAGTATTGAGTAAACACGGTGAAGGGCTGCAGTGATTTCCCATTTAAAAAGAAACCATTTTCGGGTTTTCGGAGGTAGGACGAGTGGGATACACATACACATCGTATGGTCAATGTTCTTAATTTGTCTGTTGTGACAAGTGGGATTACACACTTTCAATTGCTTTCAGTTAACAATTGGGTTTCTTTTGAATTCATTGTTAAAATATTATGTTTCCTTTTTACTTTTCAAACATGTAAAGATGGGATTTCGTGTTGTGTGTGTGTGTGAATCTTTAACTTTAAGTATGATCACATGCCGAAGCTGGTGACAATACGAACAGAAGAATGCTCAATAAACTATATTCTAAATGTTCACTTAATTCATATAGTATTTGGTATTGTCTAATTAGTTTCTTTTGGGCAATGGAGATTTATTAAAGCATTCACATTGGTAGAGTTTTTAAATGGAATTTTTATTTCAACAATACTAGTATTTTATTTTAATTAGTTATTAATTAGTTTAGTTTTCAAATAAAATTAGGGTACTAAATAAATATGTGTTAAGCTTTCATGGCTACCTTAAACTATTTTATTCGAAAATTTACTTGAAAAAACTCTTTTCGATCTCGTTTACCTTTTCTATATATATAATATTATTTTTTAAATAGTGTTATGATATAAAATATGTAATAGTTGACAAAAGAAAGATATAAAATATGTAACAATGAAAATGCTCTTAAAAGTGATACCTCAGACACATAAAAAGAAGCCCTTCAAACATCTGAAACAGAAACTTCGGTGATTTTAGACTTCACACGTTGCCATGTTGACAACCTTCATTACGAATATTAATGTATATTACGAATTGAGTGCCTATTTGTCCACTAACTTATGAACGAATAGATAATAGTTGCACATTCCTAGACGTTGCCTTAACCAATTCGTTTTTTACATGCCTTTATTAAAATCTCCCTTTCCAACAGTTGTGACATAATTTTCCAAATCAGTATCACATGCTTTCTTTCTTAAACCATTTTATTTTAGGAAAAATGTGATTTAAATATGATAGAGGCAAACAATAAAATGTATTTTAACTTTGGATGGCACACAAGACGACCCAACCTTTCCTATTTTGCCACTAAGTCACAGTCTCATTCGGAAAGCAACTCCTTGATCAGTTTTTTAAAAACTCATTGATCAGATTCCTCTTTTTCTGTTAAATTAATCAACCATAGTTCATGCATTGGATGTTGATTGTGTAAAATATAATAGTTTAATCAACGATTTTATAACAGTTTCAATAAATTTATTTCAATATTATTAAAAAAACATTTACCCAGTCATCCATTTTTGCTTAAATATATATACATATATATATATATTAGTTAAACTTGATGTAAAAAATTTGGACAAACAAACATATAACAAAGAGTGAACCAAAATACTTTTGATATTCACTCCTTTTATAAGCAAATACTTATAAAAATACAGTTAAATCAACACCAAAAAGACTTTCAAATCCAAAAAGAAAGAATATTCTCAAGCCAATGCCACATGAAATCATTTAACCTCACCGAATTACATGACCAAGAAGTAACCACAAAGATTAGGTAATAGTCAAAGACACATTCAAACAATCTGGACCAAAGCCAAAGCTTCATCAACTACTTGAAAGAAGTTTAGCGTCATTGCACACCAAAATCTTGATCCAAAAAATAAAGTAACCGACTCTAGCCTACAGATCCAATTCTAAGAGCTTTTTCTTAACTCCGTTTCAGTTCTCTAAAAAAAGTTAATAATACAAAGCTTAAAATCCTTACCACCTAAAAACATTTTCTTATCAACCAATACTTTAAATTTAAACTGGAACCTTAAAAAGGCTAGTTCAAAACGTGACCCAGAACCACCACAAAGCCGAGGTAAACCCAAGAAGAAGGCTGATACAAAAAAATAAAAAGAAAAGAAAGACGGATCCTCTCATATTACGGGCAATAGATTTGGTGAAGGCAGCTAGGAAGAAGTGATTTTCTCAAGCGAGAGAGAACATTTGCTCGGATCGGATATCAAATTTGACATACTTTGAGCAAATGTTTATATTTATTTGATTATATTTAAACACAATATATTGTATTGAACATATATAACCAATCGCCTATTGTTGAATTTATACAGTATAGTGTTTACATATAAATATATGTCATAATAAAATAAATTTTATACAATACATATTACATGGACAATTTAAGCTTTAAATTAGTCAGTCTCTTATATAGAAGGGTTAATCTATGGTTGAATCTTAGAAAATACAAACTAATCACAATATCAATTTTCGTACAAAAGTAACAAATAAACTTAACTAACATATATAAACTAAGCCTCAGTTACAAAAAAAAAAATATAAACTATGTGCAGCTATTTATTAATAGTTTCGTTTAGTTATATTAATACTAAAATCTACACTATGTAATGAATTTACATATCATATAAGTCACATATAATAACGTGGAAACAAAATTTGAATATTATTATTATTATTTTTTTAATTTTTTATTATACTATACATTTAAGATAATTAATTAAGAGTCGTTCATACAAATGTGTACCTAATAAATTCATTCAAAAAAATGTGTACCTTATAAATATATAATGATCATACATTTATTGTGAGTATTTCTAAATACAAAGTAAAATTGAATATTATGCATATAGATAAATTATTTTGTCATTCAAAAAATGATGTAGCTACTGGTACACTAAAAAATATTCACAATTACGTAATAGCAGTTTATGTGCATAAAAAGTATATATAAATATTTAAAATTTACACTTTATATTGTATAGATATAATTTATACATTTATTTTATTAGCATAAAATAGTAAAATGGTACCAAATTTATAAGAAACAAATATTATAGTTTTTTTTTGGAAAAACTACACATCCTATTTTGAATAAATCTTCATAAAACAAAATTTATGCATTATTAAATATTAATACTCTAAAATTATTATAAAGTTGAATTAAATAATCAATATAGTAAAAATTAGTAAGAAATAAAATTATTTCCAATTAGAAAAATCGAGATTTGATAAGTACATTGGTTCCTAACAAGTAAACTAACAACAGAAAATAACAAAAGTAAAGAGTCCACGTACAAATGGTTGTGCATGTGAAGAAATACCAATGCCCCAAGATACAACCAAACGTGTAATTATTTAAAGCAAACCTTCGTGGCTAATAAACGAATCATCCAACGCATAGGAAATCCAAATCCCTTGCCCAGAACATAGAATATAAAAAGAAGCTATTAGATAGATCATCTTCACAATCACCATCCTTCGTTTATTTCCCCAGTAAAATTAGAAGCAAGAGGCAGATTTTCAGCAGTATTTTGCGTATTTGTTGCATTCTTTGATATTTAAAGAATGGCAGTAACTAAGGAAGGTGGACCGACACACTTTTATGAGGAAATCGAACCCTTTTGTCGATGGAGGAGAACGGAAGACGTCGACATAGTTGAGCTACATCTTCCTTCAGGTACATCAATTAATTAGTTTATAACAAAACAAAAAAAAATATTTTTTAAAAATCTCTTCTTAGGTTAAGAAATATTATCATCACCATAATTAATTAGTTTTAATAAATATTAGTATTTCCATAATTAAGTAACTTTTTAATTCAAAAATATCTATCTTCTAACTTGCAAAAGTTCCTCTTGGAAAAAAAAAAAGTTCCTCTTGGACACTAAAACACACAAGAAACAATACTTTTATTTTAAGTCCTACATAAGTAAATTATTTATTAAACTATTTGTAACAGTTCATACAGTATATCCTTATATTTTAAAACTGCATTGCATTCTTACATGTATATTTCAATCAATTTTAAATCAATCAAATACATTTAAATTAACAAATTTTACCCAGCGAATTTGGACTTTTATTTTTAAATTTCTAAATATTTCAATTAAATTTATCTGAACTTCAATAATTATTACAATCTAACAAAAATCATTAAAATAATAACACAGAGTTTACTACTATGTATAATCATTAAGCTGATAGCACCTGATATTGGTAAGATTTAGAAATAATAATCAAGTAAAATATGATTTTGCTTCATTTTCCAAATCAGTTAAAATCTACTAACAAAACTTTAGACCATCGATTACAATTTTCTATCAATTAAAAAGGGAGCTGGTGTTTGTATAGGTTTAAAGAAAGAGCATCTCAAAATACAAATTAGCAACACCGGTATACTAACAATAACAGGAAGCTGTCCTGTGGACAAAACCAAATCAATTAAGTTTATGAAAGAAACGAAAGTTGCAAGAAGTTGTAACAGAAATGAGATTCGTGCAAAGTTCTCAAAGGGAGTTTTATACGTGACAATGCCAAAGACAAGCCCCGCAGCAGTGGCTCCTTATCTTGGTGGTTCTAAAGGAAACACATCAGGAAGAGACAGTAAAGTAGATGATGATGGGAGTAATATAGCCAAGTGCGGACGTGAATCTCATAGTAAGTTTGGCTCATTGAAGGAAAGACTATGGAGGAAGCCAGTCATTGAGGGTGTGGCAGCTGTGGTGGTTGTGGTTGCTGCTATTGTAGGAGCGGTTAAAGCCTACCAATGTGTTATGGCATCACCTGTTTGATCATATTTCACTAAGTCTATACATTGTTTCCAATGGTATAATTAAATAAATAAATTTCTTTTCACTTTAGAGAAGTTATTCGTCTTTAATATTAAACTGTATTAGCGTCAGCAAGATACGCAAGCATTTAACATAAATAAATAACCATATTTGAATTTACCATATGTTATTATTGTGTCATTTTAAAATGTACATATTTCTTGTTTCTTGCTTTGTATCACAACGTTTCTTTGTACATGTTCAAGTGTTATAAAAAAAATAATAGATAAATTGATCTAATGATGCAAAATTTTATCAAAATTTTCATTTTAGACATTTACTAAACAAAAAATAATAAAAGTGCACTTGATTTTTGAGCCTGACCACATAAATTTCCTTTTTGCCGCAGTAGAAAATTTATACCTTTTCAGTTATAGTATATGGTTAGATTAGATTAGTTGAACTTTTGTTTTCAGTTGACACTATTAGTGAATAAGTACACTTGTTTAAAATCTCCAGAAAAAAAAATCTCCAGATCTCACGAGGTTCGTAAACTCAATAACAGCTTAAACTATTTGGTTACTTTAAACTCAATATCAACAATATTAATACTGTATCATTTTTGTAAGTGATTTTCTAATATTAAACTAAAAAGTATATACTTCCAAGAAAATTGAGTTGTGATGGGACAAATAAAGAAACAAACTAAAGTTTAAAGAACAAAACACTTTTCATTGTATTAACCTTTGAATACCGTCAAAGGGCCAAGCCAGTAACTTTTGAGATCTCATTTCTTTTTGGGATACGTCTTTGTCTTTGTCCAGATCTGAACTCAACATTACCTGGTTTTGGACCTACAAACATTTAATTGGTTTCTCTTATTTCTGTTTTATTCGGTCAACAATTTCTTTTAATGTTATGGTTTATAAAAAAGCGACAGATACTTGATCCACTAAAAAATAATTAAGATATGAATCTTAGTTCTACTTCTAACTCATCACAAGGAAAGAAGACATCGATAATTTTCCAAAAGAATTTGTAATTCATATATTCAATTTGTTTCTTTTTTGTACTTGTACATAAAACGTAAGGACATGTTTATTGGGGTTCTTCCGATGAGTTTCTTAACTCATATTTTAATTTTTTTAGTTAAATTTAAGAAACTGTTCTTATATTATGATAAGAAATCCATCCTAGAACTTTTCAATAAATATGGTCTAAGAACTTAATTATCTTTTTTCCTGTAAATGGGACTGTGAAAGAACCTCTAAAGTGGTATAAATGCAAAGGCAACATATTTAGCCAAAAGTATATAATGTGTATTGTTGGCAAAAGAGAAAAGTAGAGAGAGGCTAATAAGTTTTCTAACTATTCTAAGTTTCTTAAACAAAAGATGGAAAACAAAAACTCTTCAGTTCTGATTTTCTGAATGATACAAAAAAAAGACTACTTTGATCTTGCAAACCACTTCTCAAGAGTCTCGGAACCCATTTTCTTGTGGCCAAGCTCTAGCTGAAGCTCCTCTGACACATCATCATCGACAGAAGAAACCGGTTGTTCATCCATTCCACGAGTAACAGCTTCTTTAGTAGATTTCTCATCCTTACTTCCTGATCGCTGAGTATCATTTTGAAAGAGTTCAAGGCTTAGCCTAGTACTAGTAGAACCTCCAGCGTTTGAGTCTTTAGATGAAGCACAAGCTTGTCTGTAACTGTAACTGCTGTCTTGCTTGCTGCACAAGCTTCAGTGGCAAACTGTTGCATCAGAGAGAGGGTTTGACCTTCAGGCTCAGTGGGTTTATCCTCTGAAGAAAGGTCCAACAATATATTTCATCTCTGTATCCATAGGATGATGATTCCTACAACTACAGATTTTAATCCATAAAGACACAATAATATCAATAATCAACGGAAACTTTTCCGTTAAACACTCACCGCTTAGGTTCGAGATCGGAGGGAATCACTTCTTTGTTCGTCGCTTCACCTTCCTCTCTCCCTCTCCCTTGGCGCGTTTCTGTTTCCGGGAACGTGGAAAAAATAATTAATATTTATTTTAAAGTTTCTTATATGGGCCAATACATGGTTTACTTTTAAGCCCAATAAAGTCTATGCACATATGATTTGAGAAGCCTTGTGGTCGTGTATACAATTATATTCATTTTCTAAAACGTCTAGTTTTAAAGCCTTTGACGTAATTTCAGAACAAGGAAAATAAAAACTACTTTACATAATCTTTTTTTACACTTGCGTATATTTGTGTGAGAAAATTTCGTTAGTAAATCAGAAATTCTTAAATTCTGATATAGTTTTTTAGTTTTTCATTCATATATCGTTGTCACATCACATCCTTTTCTATGATTGATTCGTTGAAGAACTGGTGTAGATGATGCTCGGATTACAAAAAAAAAAGGAAGAAATTATGTAATTTTGTCTGGCAGAATATATGCCAAAACTAATTAATATCTTATCCACATCTCCTTTCAACTGATTCTCTTGGTCTACATATTTTTGCATAAATAAACTTATGTGTATGTATGCCGTTACACATTTTTCTTTGTTTATAAATCACGTAAAGCTGTGAGATGGTATACATGTATGTATGATACATATAAGGTTGCTTAATCGAATATTATGACAAGTTAACGAATTGATTCCCGCCCGACGAAAGGCATGGATTAAGATAATGGTTTTTGTTGGCTTATTATTTGACTATTATCAATCTTTTCGGCCAAATTTAAGTTAGTAAAACAAGACTTGACCAGTAAGCAACATAACGCTTGCAGCATTTCAAGTACATATTTACGCATTTCATGTTTGACAAAGTAAACATTTTTTTTTGGGTCAGCGATTAATTAACTTCCAAGTACATTGACGTAATGAATGATGATGATCTAGTTAGTTCTAATGTTTTATTGTCGGGATTTATCGGCATAATTATAACAACACATACATTTTGTTCCTTCTCAAATCGATTGTTTTTTGGTTTGTTCTGTCCATAGATGATAGATATGTTTAAATTAGGTCACTGTAGCCTTGTAGTCTCGAGTTCACTGTCAGCTAGGACTGGACACAAATGTTTGATACTCGGTTTGTATTCGCTATTTGACTCGATTTGATTTGAAAAAACAATTACTTGATACAATCAACAAATATACAGATTTTATTAATTGCAAGTACAAATCAAGTATCAAATTCATTTTTATTTTTAACTACTTGGTTTGTTACTTGTTATCGTATACTTATACCATTATTTATTATATATTATTTAATTTATTAAATACTTGATATCTATTTTATTAGTTAATTAAAATTTATGTATTATATTTTATTAGTAACTATAGTTACTCGCTATTTACTTCTTATCCGCTACTTGATAGATATATAATCTTTAAAGATTAGGGTTTGTGTGACAAAATTAAGTATTAAGTAATATATTAAAACTATTTGTAAGTACAAAATACATATTAAATATTAATAAAATTAATTACTTGATGTTGTTTTGTTTGTTATTTGTATTTGTTAATGAACTAAAGATATATTTTCTTAAATCATAGTAAAATAGTTCATTTCTATTTATATTTTCATAAGTACATCAAACATAAATGCTATATTTATATAAATATCTTGAATTTTTTATTTTTATGTAGTCTATTTTCCAAATGACTTAAATAAAAAAATTGACATATTATTTATATAAGAAATTTATTTAATTTTACATTTTAATGAATTATCAAATAATCTACCAATAATTATGAATGAATTTGTAAATAATTTACAAATAACAAGTAATAAAATAAGACAAGTAATTTATAAATCCATCAATTTTTTTGTAAGTATTTGAAACTGCAAGTACACATTTTTAACAAATCAAGTCAAGTCGAAATATTTACTACTCGTACAAGCCAAACTGAGTACTAAGTATATAAAAAATACCGAGTATTCGGCTTGTGCCCATCCCTACCGTCGGCTAATCTTTATCAGCTGTACTCTTAAATATATTTTTTTTATCAGATGTTCTTGGCTATAATTTGAAGACCATTTTTATATTTTATAAGATCCTATCTAAGGAAATCTTCCTAAAGGTTATATACTGTATGAAAAGTCATTTACTTAATGATTCGGCCGACGAATGGCTAGTGTTGTAGATGCTACTTTCTGTCTGATTTAATTTTACAAGAAAAAATGTTGGTCCGAGACAAATATTAATTGGTGTATTCTGGGACTTGATTAGCTGTGATGTTCTTGCTTATACAAATACAACTAGAGTTTTCGTATAATTTATTATCTTACAAATACATACAACGTAAAGTTCAGTAACGGTGTAGGGGTATTGGGGAATATGCATGCTGGCAAGACTGATAGGCAACACAAGTGCACCAAATACATAACGTGCAATAATGTTTAGGTCATCATCCTTTTTATTTGATTACTCGCGCTAGACCAATCTCAAGAGTTACTGAATTGTCTTTTGACATTATTCAAAATCTTGTATCGGTGGAAACAAAATACTTTTCCTAAGGATTCCGTTAAATAGAAATAAAGAACGAAGTAACTAGAAAGATTGTTTGAGTTCGCCTTTTCTATCTTCTAGAAGGATCATCTATAAAGCAAAATCTACAATAAACTGTGTACTAGTAAAGTAGTAAAGGACATCCATTGCTCAGCGTTAATGAAAATCTACATATATTTCTGATATAAACATATCGGGTGTTAAAAATTGATAGACAGATACCGAAAACTTAAATACAATCAATCTAGTATATCTCTCAACAGATTATGACAAAAGAGAAATGACCTTATATATGTTGAAGTGTTTTTGGTCCCCCAAGAAGAAGGAGATGAAATAAGAAGAGAATGAAAAGGAAATGAAGATAGGAGAGGGGAACAGTGTCACGAGGAATGCTTTGGATCTTATCGGAACATATCTTGTCTATGTCTCCTTGTTTTGTCTCACTAGCACGTGAGATTATAGTTTCTTCCTCATCGTTTACCCAATTATATTTTTCTCAGTTCTCATTAAAAAAAAGTTTTCGTTTGTGACACTGGTCAAATGTTTAATCGGCTAATCCTAACGAAACTTCAGCTATATTGCCTAATTTTCCTCTATTTGCATTTTTGTCGGATATAATTCGGTATATATAACAGTTCCTAGGTGCATGATGTTACGGACATCTTGATTTTAAATTTGTCTCCACTATGGAGTGGTTTAGATTGAAGAGAAAGATATTTGTGTGGTCCTTTGTTAGTGTATAGTTTATACAGGTTCACATTTAGTTTGTTAGAACAAATTATTCTGGTTCTAAATGTCAACACTATTATAAGAATCAAGCAAACTAATAACAAAACAATATCAACACTGTTACAATTTTGCTTGTTTTATAGTATCTGAAATAAGCAATTGTCAAATGACCCGAAACATCAAAATGGCCAAGAGTAAGATAAATAAATTGGGTTTCAACAAATAAATTGTCCAATTGGTTGTCCGTATGGTCGTTCTATCGTCCATAAGAGCTATGGATACTGGGTTGAGCAAGTCCTTTAGATCTAAATAGTAAGTAATATGATTATAACAGAAAGTTATTTAGTCTTTTAAATCACACTTGGAGTTCATCATATAATACGTGAGTGGTGAGCTTACATCAAATTTTGGTAATACGTCGTACTATGAAGTGAGTTGTTTTTTGGTATGAAGTATAAATTTTCTTTATTTACTTATTTATGTTGTTTTATTGGAAAGAGATATACCGATCGAGTTCCATATACATCTTCTGTGGGAACCAAAACTCCTTTAAAGCAAAGATTATTTAAAATGCAGCTTGTTTCAGAAAGTTAAAGAATGACGACGACCAATAGAACCAACTAAACTTGATTCAAATGGTAACTTTAGGAATATGGTCATAGCTCATACGGACATGTGATCATGGCTATTTTTCTAGCGTTCCAAAATCATTATCTCGCTTTACAAGACAAATTAAATTAAATATGTAAATGCTTTGTGATTTTCATTATATTTTGGTAGTAAGATTTGGATCCAGATGCAGTGTAACTTACTGAGTCTATCTGTGCATGTACCCCAAATCTTCTATGACTTATCAATTTAAAGAATAAGAAAGTAAAAAAATGATGCCTAGGCAAATCTTTTGCCTGTCTTTTTGGGTGAATATGTACTTTGCCACAATAGTTTCAACTTTCAAGCATTATAATATATGCGTTTTATATAAATATAAGTTTTTAATACATTTGGGAGGCCATTCTTCTGCAACAAAGTTGCCCCAAAAAGCATGGGCGGGCGTAATTTTGTTTTATAAAAGAGAATTGCTTTAAATCAGTCCTTAGTAATATATTGAACTTAAGGCACTTTCTTCTATAGCAGCATCCAAAACCATAGGCGTGTCCCCTTCCAATTATAGACTATATTTATGCAGCTTTGGTTGAAATGCGATAGATATATAGAATAGTATTAGGCGATTTTTCTGTATTCATTCACAGTTATAAATATTTAAAAAATAATTAATAATTTATATATATATATATATACATATCTCATTATAATTAATTATTCTTTTCATTTTTCTTTATAAAGTTTATCTCATTTGAATTTTTTATATATAGCATAATTAAATATGATTTTAAATAAGATATTTTATTTTAGTTATATCTGTAAACTATGTTTATAAATTTGATTGATTTACTTATCTATTTTTTTGGGTTTACTCAGTTGCATTTTTACTACCAATATTTGAATTTTGAGAAGGTAAAATCATATTAAATGTTATTAATTGTACTTAGTTCTATTTTTATTTTACCTTTGTAGATATATTTTGTAATTTATTAGGTACCATGTTGATAAAAATACTTAAAATAAATTAAAACTGTATTAGTTTAGAAAATATATCTTTTGGATCTATTTACGAACATAATTTATTAATTCTTAAATTAGTTATTTCTTGTAAAGTTAGTTGTAATATTAAAAATAAATTAAATGATCAATATATAAAGCATACGGTTATGGTTGATTTATATTAGTAAAAACATTTTGGCTCCAGTGTTAATCTTTTGATCGAAACACACACACACACACATATATATATATATAGCAAATATTTTGGTTTTTTA